ACTAATGCATTCCTAATCCTTTGAAGTTCATCCTTTATATGTTTTAAACCATTTTGCACAATTAAATTCAAGATATGACACGGACAACGAATATGAAATAAATACCCACCAAAATCAGGTTGAAGTGTCCTACACAATTTATCGACAACTACCTTATTAACACTATCATTATCAAAAGTAAAAGATCGAATTTTACTCTCACAATGATATTCTCTAACAATACTGATAATAGCATTATATATATTATTAGCACTGTGAGGAAATTCAATAATTTTCTTATGCATGCACCAAAGTGGGTTTATATAGTGTGCGGTTGCAGCTATATATGCTCTTTTATTAACCCCTTCCCATATATCAGAAGTTAAGGATATAACACCCCCATATTGTTGCAAATCCATAATTAATTATTTTTTTGAATTATTGAAATAATTTATTTTATCGGCACGAAAAGCGTTTCGACTTACCCTAACGTACCTCGGTTATAGATATTCTTTCACGAACGAGACGAAGTGTTGGTTGTCTGCAATAGCCAGAGGCAACTCAGTGGCGGCAACAAATTTCACCATTCCGGTTCGAGTCTCATCCTCCGAATATACCCACGTGGATAAGGGTGAAGTTGTAGAACCGACGCATGGACTACCAAATTGTAATTGTGTTTGACCAGCTGGAAGAAGTCCATATCTGGCTGCACATGATTTGTAGTGGCAGTTGAGATGAGTGGTACCAATTCCTTTTTGCCATGCCAATCTTTGTTGGGAGTATTTACATACTGCTTTAAATTCTACAAGGTTATCAACGATTTTTCCCGTTGAAATCAACTTAAAGTGATCTCAACATTTTGCTTGTTTTTTGGCCTTTCGCTTTCCCCTTGCATCTGGAATATTTAATTGATGATCTTCATCTTCATGTTCCGCTTCGGGAATGTTAATATCATTCAAATCAATTGGAGTGTGGCTTCCCTAACTGTGAATGTGAACATTTTCAGGTATCAGTATGTCATTTATACCGGCAAATTCATTTGGAAATTGACTTTGCGGCGTCCTAGGCGATTCTCCATGATGTGGCAATGGCTTACATCCTGTATCGAATAAGCTCTCAACAAATGAACGTTGATCCATTTTTGTGATTGTTTATGATGAAATCTTAACTAGATGAATATAAATGTAGTGAGATTGTGAGAATTGAGAATTGGATGAATTGAAATTATAACTAATAAACTGTAAAAATTGAATTGATATTGTATATTTTGCAGCACAAGAAAGTAAAAACTCGATAATTGATATAATAAAAGAGA